ACTTAGCAAGCTATTCTAGGGAGCAGACTATTGCTTGTAAGCTATGTGGCCAATAAGTGCGTAATGTTAGTGTTGGGAGGTTCTCTGGTGAATGAGTCCAATGCTTGTTTTGTAGCTAAAAACAGAAAACCCATCTAGGAAAAGCAATTTTGCCCAAGTGTGCATAGCCTCACGAGCGTTCTCTGTTGGATGTGTGTTGGAGGTTGCGTTGCGATGGCAACAAATAATGCACAGCACCAGAAAGGTTTTGAGTGAATGTCCCGACGGAGCTGTACATTGCAAATGATCCTAGTTTTTAATTCTATTGTTTTCTTTCTCTTCACCATGACACTTCAATGTAAAATACTTGTGTGACACTTCCCAGTGGGCTTCAGTGTGGTGGCTTATTGCTCTCCACACAGACCTGCATGTTTGTGCAGAGGTTGTGTTGCAAACGTGTTCAGGGTCCTGCTTTCCCACCCATGCTCAGTCCTTCTCTTGTCAGGCTGGCACACGGGGGCAATTTGGGGACCTGGGAAATGGGACCTCCAGTCAACTTTTGGTCCTGAGATTTTTAGATACCATGTGAGATTAACATTTTCAGGAAAAAAAATTCAGAAGTTGACAATTTTTAGCCTTTGTACAAATTGACGCCTATCAACTACTATAGAAATCATTATCTAAAAAAGAACAACTATAAAAATCATCATAAAAAAAAAAGAACATCAATGCAGTTGAAAGAATATAATTGTGGAATAACTGAACTTTTTTGGGGGAAAGACTGTCGGCTGTATAGCCTGTCATATAAACATTTGGATTTACATACGTAAGTGTTGCTGGTTTGTTGCTCATTTGACATCTTAACATAGTCTAGCATTTGGGAACATTTGATCCTAACAGCTCCCTGCCCAAACTGAAATATTTTATTGTCACCATGACTGAATGTTGATTATTGCTTTGTTTTCATATCAAACCATCTGCCAAGTTTTGCCAAATCTGCAAGAGGTTACAAAAGCCATGCTCACAGCAGACTTCTATGCTAGCAGAAATTGAGTTTTGTGATTTATAGTCTAATCTCTACCATTTCTGAGTCCAGTCCCCAAACCGTGCCGAAAAGGGGCCATCTGCCTAGAGCTCTTATGCTCCTAGTTCTCTCTGGGGCTGCAGTTGATTTGTTTTAACACACACTGTACACTACTGGAGGTGACTTTCACCTGCTCGTGGTCATGGGTAAGACAATTATGAAGTCTGACATTATTCTTGGAATGATTTTAAACAAAATATCATAGTTCATCAAAACCTGTCTGCAAAACACCAACAAGTTAATAGTCATTTATGTACAGAAGGAAAAAATTATGCCTGCCAGACCACCTTCACGTGGGAGATTTGGCCATAAATTTTAAATATCCATTGTGAGAATTATATTATGTGTAAGGAAATCAGTGTCCTGCAGTTTTACAAGTGGGCCTTAGAAGGGCATAATGCACAAAGGCCCAATATGCACAGAGAGACTTAGAATGGAAGCAAAACAGGCAAGAAAAAGGGCATCTCTGAAAATTCTGGCACCACTCACAAAGCCTTTGAGAACAGAGTTCTTGATGGACAAAATGGCAACATGTGGTCCTGAATGTTTTGAGCACCAGAATTGCAACCAGATCTTTTAGGGGTAGCATCGATCTCTAGCAAGTATCTCATAATTAGCATTGAACCCTCTCTGTACAGTTTCTATGTGAGGTCTTCCGTGGGTCGTGTAATGCAAGCCCGGGAGGAAGCCTGTGAGATTGGGTGCTGTCAAGTGAGGGACTGGTAACTTTCCTAGCATCCAAGTCTGCAAGGGCTTCGCCGGCCTGTACTGTGCCCTTGTACCACTTTGAACAAGGCACTCCCTGGGGGCAGACAGACTACGCACTAGTCCCTCACTGGACAAAGAAATTCTGAAAAGATCCCTGCCCAGCTGTATCCACAGGGTTGAAGGGTGTTCAGCCTCAAGGCATTTTGAGGATACAGAGAGCATCTCTGTAATGAGAGAAAGGTGCCCCCTTCTTGAGGTGGGCAGCACTGCACCAGGTTGTAAGGCTTTCTGAGCAGCAGGCTGAGTTCAGCACCAGCTCTTGACTGACTCAATGTCTTAGCTTGTTGGAGCTGCTACAACAAAAATACCACAGGCTGAGTGACATAAACAATGGATATTTATTTCTCAGATTTCAGAGGCTCTGAAGTCCAAGTCAGGGTGCCAGCTGCTTCCTGATAAGCCCTCTACCTTGTTCTATCTCCATATGACTGACAGATCACTTTGTCCCTCACACGGGCACTAATCCTACTTGGGGGGGTTCCACCTCATAACCTAATCACTCACAACAAGCCCATCTCCAGAGGCTGTCACACTGAGGGTGAGGGTTCCATCATAGGAGTTTGGGGGACCAAACCTTCAGTTCTCAGTGCTCTCTTCTACTGAGACTCATTACCCCACCTGCCTTGCATTAGCCGCAGAGGTCAGTGAGGGCCAGGGAGGCAGACCTGGCTGCAGGACCGCGAGGTTCTGCCACCACCCCCACCTCCCACCACCTCACCCAGGTCTTGCTTTCCTGCAGTAGCTCAGTGCAGCCCAGTAGTTGGCCCTGCCACCATCCACACACAGATGCACAGCCCTCCCCTCCTGTCTTTCCTTTTCCATCATTGTTCCACCTTCCCCAGCCCATTTAAATCCCCACGGAACAAGACAGCATGGACCCAGCCTTCACAGACCTTGTGCTGTAGGAGTTAAGCTACTGAATAAGCAAGCAGTCTGTGCACAGAGCAGTCAGCTCCAGAACAAGGCACACAAAGGCAATGCAAGCCCCTCATGCAGACACGGCATTTGAAACAACTTTGAGGTGGTTGCAGTCCAGCAGGTCCCTGCGGAAGGACAAATGGGAGCCAACACAAGGGTGGGAACAGGAGGGAGCCGGGGGTGGCGGGTGAGAGGTGGGCAGGGGATGGAGGAGCAGCAGCAAATCACAGAAGACCTAAAAACCATAGCATGGTGGCACACGCCTGTGATCCTAGTTCTCTGGGGCACTGAGGCCAGAACATCACAAGTTCAAGCCCAAGCCTAGGCAATGCAGCAACTTAGCAAGACACGGTTTTAAAATTAAAAAACAAAGGACTGGAGATGTAGCTCAAGGTAAAGGCCTTATTGAAAAACAAAAACAAAAACACTAAATGGCTTTAAGCAGACAATGATTCTCAGTTTACCTTTCAGAAATAGTCTGTTTGCTAAAATAGTAAAATAGTAATCCTACCTGCCCATGCACTGGTATTTTCATATGACTTTGAGGTTTGCCTTTACTTGGTAGTCACGTTGTGGAAATGACCTCACCTGCTCTTTATAATGTCTGTATCATTTTCCAAAGCATATTCTGATCTTCCCCAAGGACTCAGCGGGTGACCCTGAGTGCCAGACCCACTCGGCACTGCTGGGTGTTGTCCTCACTGCATGGCTCCTGTCCTGCTCCTGCGGTGACCACGGCTTCCCACTCCCACTGTGTGGACAGGACCTTGTTGTGTGGCTCACATGCACAGGAAGTGTTTAGTGAGGTTGAGTGTCCCTGAGCAGCCCTACTCTGTGACTCCCAGCTGCTCCCCAGAAGGTACCTGAGGCAATACTGGTGACTCCCTGCCTGGTATCTCCGCAGTGAGAACTGGGCTCTGGGCCTTTCCTGTGGTGGATGTGGCCTCGCTCGCCAAGCGCCTTGTCCTAAGTGGAACAGACACGGCTGGGGATTCTTGCCACTGGGCTGTGGAAGAGACACCCAGCATCACACTCTGCTCAGAGGACACAAGTACTGAGGAGTCTTCACAAACCCTGATGTAATCACAGCCCCTTTCATCCAATGTTATGGGCTTAAAGCCAGATTATAAATTGGACCTTGTCTATTCCATCCAAAAGACATTTGCTAAGTACTTGTACTTCTAGTCATTAAATCAGATTCTGAGCTGCTCAGGAGCAGAGGCCTTTGGCTCTGTACTCACTTTCTGTTTCTTGTACAAGTTATGACATATTTAGCGCTGTAAACAACAGCCTGGTGTTATTATTGCACAGTTCTGGAAATCAGAAACCCCAAACAAATCTTACAACACTAAACTCAAGGTGTTGGCTGAGCGACACTATCCTTCTGGATCCTCCGGGGTGGAGCTGTTTCTCCATTCTCACAGCTTCTGGAAGCTGCCTGTGTCCTTAGGTTCGTGGTCACATCACTGGGGCCTGTCCTCCACCCCGGTGTCTCCCACCACCCCTCTCTGCCTCCCTCCCCAAGTCTGAGGATTCTGGAACGTACATTGGCCCAGCTGGATAACCCAAAAGAACCCTCTCCCTCAAGCCCCCCACCCCCCCATCACTTTGGGTTTAATCCAAATCCGTTTTGTGGGTAGGTGTTGTGTCCACAGGTTCCAAGGATTAGGAAGTCTACGTGTATGGAGGGGCTTTCCCTGGTTACCTTTGCTGCCATACGCTCCTTATTCTGAATTTGATTTTGTTTTTAATGTGTGGGTTTAGAGTCAAACTTTCAGTTCCACCCCTAGCCCTTCCTAGAGATACAACCTTAGAAAAAAGTTGCTCAGTGCATCTAAGGCTCAGTTTTATTGTCAGTCAAACAGGAAAGATAGCACTGCCTTACTCCTGGGATTTTGAAGTTAACAGGCCAGCCTGTATGTCACTGCCTGTGCCTGGGACAGTACTTTAAAGTGTTCGATATTATCAATGTTCATTTCTTTTCCTTGAGCAGGAAGCCCTGATGGCACCTGATTCCTTTTGGGTTGGGGAAATGTTTAGAGATTTACCGTGTCATATCATTGTTTTCTGAATAAAGTTGTTACTAACTTAAATTTTTTTATTTTCAAAAGACGTTACAGAAACTTCAAAAGTTCACAAATAGCCACAGCCAGTAATACACGTTTTCAAAAACAGCTGTTGATTCCAAAACAAATTTGTTTGACTCAGACTGAGGGTACTCGCAGAAATACTTTTAAATACTTTGTTCCCATCTCAGTGGGTTTAAGGCTTTCCCCAGGCCTTGAGTGCCTGTACTAGTGGTGTCTGTCTGAATCTGCTTCCCTCCCTCCGTGAACCTTGGCAGAGAGTGTTCCTGGGTCTTGCCTTGAAGTCTTCGTGCTGTGTTCAGGGCTCATGTTGGGAATGGTGCTGAGGCCCATGTGTCCTCTCTGAAGCCCAGTTCCCATCGAATGCATAATTTCCTGCTGTTGTTTCCCCAGTTGACTCCTGCACAATCAGCTTCCTATAAATTCAAAATGAGATGCCAGCTTGCCATAAAAGTTTGAAGGGTGTCCTGAACACTTCTCAAGGCCCAATCCTACTACCTCTCATTTCCTCTCCCCCCACTCCTCGGGAGCAGGTCTTCCCGCCATAGGCAGAGCCCTGTTCCCTGCTGGCCACTGGTCTCTAAGCACAAATGCAGAGGTCTGTGGGCAGCTTTCAGAAAAAGTTGAACAGGAAAACAATTTTGAGTCCCCCTCCCCAGCCCTCCAGCACACACCTGTTCATGCAGACACATACACCCACGTGCGTACGCAGCACACACTCAAGAGTGAGTCCCCCCAAGCAGAAATGAGACGCCGAGACGAAAGAATGCTGCTTTCAGTGAAGCACTTCCTGGGTGCCCTGAGCTGAGTAATAAAAGTGATTTCTAACAAGCATGCCAGAAAATCCACATCCATTCATCATCATCTCTGTGTGAGGTGCTGGACATTGATGATCAGAGCTCTCGCCTCTGAGAAGTATGTGCTCGACACTGAGATCACACAGCAAATTAGCTGTAGAGTCTCAGGACCACAGGATGGTCCTGGAGGTATTGTTTGGGTTACATTTTGGGGCGGGCCAGCTGTCACAACACGAACATGACTGAGTTGGGGAGTGAGGATTGAGAAAGGAAAGAACACTCAAGCCTGAGTGGAGACCAAGAGAAGTTTGATTTATTTCACAGAAACAGCTCCTTCCTTTTAAAGGCACCTCAGCAGAAAGCACCAAGCAACTATTTGTATCTTATGCAAAGACTGGATTTTCTAACTCTTTACAAAGAGCATCAGATCTGTGGTTATCTCTTTGAGTTTCTCCCATTGCAGGGTCAAAAAACAAGTTTAACAAGCAGAGTCCTTGAAAAGTAACAAATGTTACATAGATTGTATCAATGCCTTAATTGTAGAGGAAGAAGTTTCCTTTCAAATGTCAAACGCCAGAGGGCCATGGCCGGTGCCCACAATTCCCTTTTTATTATATTTAGAGCAGGGACTTTCCCAGCTCATCAGAAAGACTGTGCCTGTCTTAGGTGAGAAATGTCTAGAGAAATCCCTTACCCGTCATCAAGCCATGAGAAGTTTAATACTCATGCTTTGTCTCAGGTTGGATATTTCTCTACACTTCTCTTACCTGTCTTTGACTACCAGCCTCTGCAGGGGTTAGACTGTAGGTTGTGGAGGTTGACATATAGCTTTCTCTACCTCTATCAACATTTGTAACTCTTGATCCTCATACCAGGACTCATTAATTTTTACAGGCATCATTACAAAGGGAGGTTGTTTCAAAACCATCACAGAATGAAAGGAAGTCATCATTTCTGAGAATATGTAATTGGTCAACTTACAATTAAAACAGCTGTTGTTATATTCATTATCGGTTTCATAAACAATCTCTATATTTCTTACCAATAACATATATGGAGCATTAACTCAAGACATTATCTTTTTCTTTTGTTCTTTGCCTTGAGATAACACAGTATTTATGGTATTTCACATATTAAAGGCCCTCATGCCTTTAATGATATTTTTATCGAAACTAGGGCTAGTAACTTTGACATCTGACCATACACATATTTCTCCTAATGCAGCAGCAAGTTTCCAAATGTTGGTTTGAGGAAAACATGAATCTGTCCACCAATGTCCTGCAGATAAGCTTAAGTCTGTGGAATTTCCACGTGACCAGTCCAAAAACTTTCGAGATGTGTCATTAAATATCAAACATATAAGCCCAATATCGCTGGATAGAATTACTTCCGGGAAACATTTGTAGGGTTATTAAGATGATTCACATGATGAACCAATCTCTCCGGCAGCCATCAGGCTCCATCATGTCCCAAAGCATAAGGAGAACCCTGAGGATGCCAGAATCTTTCTGCTTCTGAATGGCCATGCTTATCAATTTGTAAAAAAATTTAAAATATAGGTAGCATGATTTAAATTTCTGGGTGAAGAGGGGTACAATTCCCCCTTTTTTATTTTTTGTAGTTGCACCTTTAATAGTGGGGAACGGGAGAATACCTGGATCAAAAGTTTATTGTCATAAACAATACATTGGAAAACCTGCATGGTCAAACAACATGGAATACATTTTTTGTATACCAGAAAAGAAGCAAAAATAATTACTATAATTATATGAAATGTTATGTCCTGTAATGTAGCTTTGTATCAACAGGATCTTCCCTTTTTAAAATTATTATTTATTATTTATTTTTTTAATAGAAAATATTATATTTTGAAGATAACCATCATAAACATGTTACAATAACATATTTAGAATTCAGCCTTTTGATGATAACCAATGTAAACATTTTTAACAACATATTTAACAAGGCATATCTTTTTATAAGGCTATGAAAATTATCTGGGCTCCCATTAGGGAACAAAGATCAGAATAAATTTTCTGAGCAGCTGCTTCTTTATTTACCAACAGGAGTGTACCCAAACATAATTTTACATTTAATTATCTTTAAAGTTTTTATTTAACCTATGAAAGGAGGGTGTAGAAATCAACAGTCTACTTGTATTTGACGTCATTTTGATCAAAAACATAATCGAACACTTTTCAACATTTAGACAGACAAACATAGAAGACAATCTAATCTAGAGTGCACTCAGATGGTTTTGGCCAATTGAATTATAAAATCTTTTAGTTACAACTAGTCAAAACTTTTGCAGGTCAAAATTAACAGAGATCTCTTGTAGAATTAGGGTTAAAGGAATGAAAAGCGCTTCCTGACTGTAAATGTAAACCTTTTATAACAGACTTGAAACCAAAAAGCAAACATATTTTCTTATTAAATAATTTTTATACACCTTCTCTAAATACTTAGGCCTTTTGATCTTGTACATCTTTCTTTACCTGTTTTTTATAACACGAACATATAAAAACCTTTCATGTCAAAAGTGTAACTCTTACTTATAGCTTTCCTAATATTTTTCTATCTCATTTACTATTAACCTTCTATCTTTTAGATTGTTACATCTTAAAATTTGACTGGCTGCCAATGCAACAGCATTAACCTTGAGTTTTTAGAAAGGAGCAAGTTAACCCTATAATCGCAGCTTAAGAATTTGCCATGCACAAGAAGTGTTACCAAAACTAAATAGTTTTCACTAGCAGCTTGCTGTCACAGAGCAGAAGTTTGAGCAACTCCTAGGCTGGGTTGTTTTGAAATCTCTTTCTTAATTATGTGGCGTCCAAGGTCAGCTGCAGTCTGGCGGACCTCCTGGAAATGATCTAAAAATCCAGGTGACGGGGGTAGATGAGCTTCTTCTTCTTTTCTTTCAGTCAGAAAATTCAAGATAAGTGAACAGACGAACAAGAGAGCAAAAGAGGCCAAGCAGAATGTAAGACAAACAAACTGAAAGAACCAGAGATTCTTGTCTGAGAATCTCCTTCATCTCCTCTTCCGAAATCAGAAGAACTCTGCCAAAACCAGAGGGTCCTGAGGAGGGGAAAAAATCAACCTCCTTCCCAGTAAACAGAGAGACAGAGTTCTTACCAGAGGGGCAAGGGAGGTCTCTCAGCCGCTGTGGCATGGAGTCCATTAGCACGTCTGCCAGGACCGCCCGGCCTCCAAAATGATCCGGATCACAAATTATGAATTAACAATTATCAGACATTAAGAGGAAGAGAAAGACATAGAAGTAAACAAAGAACAAGGACTCACCGATCAGTTTGTAAAGTTTAGGGATCTTTTAGGGGTAGCATCGATCTCTAGCAAGTATCTCATAATTAGCATTGAACCCTCTCTGTGTCCTATTTAATTTTGCTGTTTCTTGACATTGTTTTCCAAATTCAGACTTCTACAAAAGGAAATAGCTCCCCCCCACACACAAGCTTTAGCTATTTGCTTTCAATCAAAAGGAAGTAAAGCATCAGTTGCCAGAGAATCAGGCATTGCTAAAGTAAAAGGGGCTGTTGGTCCATACTGGGCGCAAGCCATTTTCAATTTTTAATTGTTTAAAAAGACTTGCAGCATGTTGACGAACGGGGTTTTCCTGAGCATCTCGAGCATCGAAGACTGGGCAGACAAGGGAAAATCTCGATAAATCTTTCCCAATATTTAAAGCTTGTTGTAACCCTTGTTGAACAGGGGACAAAAGAGGTCGAGAATTGATCCTAACAGGTTTTTAATTTTTGAGGAGCCCTGAAACTAGAAAAATTAAAGAGGGCTCTCTCTCTCTCCTCCTCCTCCTTTTTTTTTTTTTTTTCTGGGATCTAAACTATCTCAGAAGAGAGTCCATAAGCTAAAAGCATCCACCGGTACCTAGCTAGGTCCGTGTGCAGTATAATAATCTTGTAATCATTTTCCTACCTTACTCCAAGTTTTTAGATTAACTGTGCCCTCCTCAGGAAACCAAGGACAAACTATTTCTACAAATTCTAAAAAATTACACAATTGCTGGTGCCCTACTCTAGCACCACCGATACGCAATAAATCTTTAAGCATGTGTACAAAAAGCATGCAACTATTGCCGGCTCCCATCTTTAATATTTACAAGAAAACTTGCCGCTCCTTCTTCTCTGCAGTGTCCTTCAGTAGATCCCTTGATACTCAGGTCCTGTTTGGGCGCCACTTGTGGCAGCCCAGCCCTCACAACAGGAACATGACTGAGTTGGGGAGTGAGGATTGAGAAAGGAAAGAACACTCAAGCTTGAGTGACCAGGAGAAGTCTGATTTATTTCACCAAAAAGGCTCCTTTTAAAGGCACCTCAGCAGGAAGCACCAAGCAACTATTTGTATCTTATGCAAAGATTTTCTAACTCTTTACAAAGAACATCAGATCTGTGGCTATCTCTTAGAGTTTCTCCCATTGCAGGGTCAAAAAACAAGTTTAACAAGCAGAGACCTTGAAAAGTAACAAATGTTACATAGATTGTATCAATGCCTTAAGTGTAGAGGAAGAAGTTTCCTTTCAAATGTCAAATGCCAGGAGGGCCATGGCCGGGCCCCCCACAACGTTTTGCAATTTAAACTCTTATTAATTGCTGAACGTGATGTTGTAGGCTATAATCCCAGCACTCTGGTCAAGGTGGGCTTGCAAGTTCAAGCCTAGCTTGAGCACCTTCTTGACTTCCTGAGATCCTGTCTCAGAATTTTAAAAATAAATAAATAAAATAAAGGGCTGGGGACAGAGCTCAGTGCACAGGTCCCGGGTTCAATCCCCAGTACCATACACACACTCCAATGTACTGTTGCTTTAAAAGATTTAAATGTTGCAAGCCCTCTTGCAGGAAATCTTATGTAACCAATATATTTTAATACAGAAGCTGAAGCAGTGTTGATACAGGGATAGATAAACCAATCAATGGACACAAATAGAAAGTCTACTAGATTAACCTGAACACAAAGAAACTGGGTTTCTAGCAGCGGTGGCCTGCAGACCAGCAGGAAGGGACCAGCTTCTCACAGTGCAGCTGCTGTGCTGGATGACCACGTAGGGGGAAGCTGGATTTGAGGCTTATGCATTGCAAGTATGTAAGATGTAAATGTAGAGGTGAGACTTCAAAATGTTTTCAAAGTAATCTTATTGATGTATTTATTTTTTGGTACCGGGGATCGAACTCTGGTCCTTGCATTTGCAAAGCAGGAGGCGGAACCACTGAGCTAAGTCCCCAGCACCTGAAGCAATTTTATATATAAGTGTGTAATAGAAAATAAATTTGTATATGATATTATATAACTTTAAGGACCAAGGATTTTATTTGTTATTTTAATTAATGCATATTAAACCGATTCATGGATTGCATGGTGATATTTTTATATGTGGATATAACATACTCCAATCATATAAAAGCCCAAATACTTCAAAAGGACATTTATTACCATATATATGAATCCAGGGGAAATTAAACCACTTTATTTTTTTGCTGATGCGTTCTAGTACACATTCAACGTGAATGCTTTTTAACTGTGATCAGTGAAAAGTATTTTATCATATGAAGATTTAGTTCAAATGTGCTACATGGCAGGACCACAGATTAGCTTCCAAGCTGTGACTACTTCCTACTATTCGTGTGGGCTCAAATTATTTCCACAGATGCAGGCTACCTTGGTCTTTCCTACCTGTCCACTTCTGAACACCTGGTTGAACAAAACTGGTTCAGGGTTTTAAAAGTACCATTTTATCACTAATATAATTATAGCAGCTATCTTTCATCACCTCCTGCGTGCCTGGTCTTGTGCTAAGCACTTTCTGCATGGATCCCTTTTCTTTCTTACCAACCTAGGAGCCCCGAGGTACTATTTTTTCTGTCTTATTTGCCTGTCTCTATCTTACTGATATTTGCTATTTTGCTCTCCTTTGTCTTGTTTTGAATTTAGCTACTCTTTTTCTAATTTCCAGAGATGCTTTGTTCATTTACTTTTAGCTCTACATTTTTCTAATATAAGTATTAAATTTTCTTGCTTTATCTATCTAATTTTGAGAGTTTTAAATGATTATTCCATTCAGAATACTTTCACATTTGATTCCTTCTTCGAATCTTTATTGGAAGCATTTTTTCTTACTGTGCTGGGGATAGAATGGGAGCCCTGTGCATGACATGAAAGTGTTCTGCCCCTGAAATACTCCTGCGGCCCAGAAGCTCACTTCTTCATTTGCCAACATTATAGCATTCCAGTTTTCTTTTTTGTTATCTATGTCTAGCTTACTCAATAGAGATTACCATCTGAGAACCCACTCTATATGACGCCAATTCATTGAAATAGATTAGTTTTATGGTCAGTGATGTTTAACCTTTATAAATGCATCATGAATTCTCAAACAAGATACAGATTCTACTGAAGTTCTGCTCTTACAGATAGAGATTAATGATAGCTACATACTTAGGTCAAGTCTGTTTATCAGGTATATACATCTGTCAACCTACACCTTCTTGTCCATTCTTTCTGAAACTCTCATTTTGTTGCTATCCATTTGTTTTTTTCTTTATTCTGCTCAGGCTAAATTACTAGAAGCATACAAATTTAAAGTTGCTGTATATTGCTAATGAAGTAAATATTAAATATTTTCATCAAGTTACATTTTTTACTTCTAATGATGCTTTTTGCCTTAATATGTAATAGCTGCCTGAGTGCGTGACCCTGCTCATGTAATTTCTCTAGATGACCCAGGTGACATGAACCTGGACTGCACATCTGAGCGCAGGTTGGTTACTGTTCGGCTTCCTCCAGAGGCATGGCCACTGGTAGCTCCGGTGATTGTGGGGAGGAGCCCTAGGCGTGATTCTTCACCCCATGTAAGCCCAGGTCTCTGATTTCCATTCCCTTTGCCCAGCAAAGCCACTGAGGCAAACCATGTCAGTTTTGCAGCATTGTTATAAAATACCTGAGACCAATAACTTCAGGGAGACTTACTTTGGCTCACAGTGTCAGAAGTTCCATGCCACGGTCAGCTGGTTCCATTGTTTTAGGGATACCACAAGGCAGAACAACATGGCAGAAGGGCCTGCTGGACAGGAAGCTGAGAGAGCGGGAGAGGGCTGGAGAGGAAGGGCCAGGAACAGGATGCGGTCCCCAAGTTCAGGTCCCTATGTTTTGCTCCCTTCAACGAGGAGCTCCCTCATGATCTGATCTCTTTCGGGGTCCATCAGCAGGCCTTGGGGGAACCTTTAGATCCAGACCATACCACAAACATTTACAGGGATGAAAAGTTTAAAGGAAGAGACATCAGCCATGTTATTGGAGCTGTGTAGATGTTGAAGTACCTTTTGTTCTTCTGTGATATTTAAATAACTTGTGAAATTTATTTGCAAGGGGTTACAAGAGTAGTAGTCAAAAGCCATGAACATGCTTAAACTGCAGCTATAAATGTTTTAATGATATTTTCATATGAGTGACATTTTCGTATTGTTAGTAAATCTTTGAACAAAACGATACCGTCCATTTTACCATTACACAAACGTATCACACAACTCCATTTTTTTCCTTGACTCACAAAGTATGTTTATGTTTCATACAACAGGCCATGTTTGAAAATGATTGGATTTTCTTTTCCAAACTGCAGCTCTTCATCAAAAAATGACAGTGGATGTGTGCCTCATGCAGAAACACAGCATGTATACCCTCCAGCTGTTTACAGCAGGTCAAATGCACATCATAGTCTTAGGTTTCTGTTGAGAAATTTGAAGATTTTCCAGGTTCCTAATTTAATCCAGGCGTAAAAAGTCTTATCTTCTACCCTCATCTTCTTGAGATAATTATTTTGCATATGGTGCATAACACAACACTAAAAGTTGGTATAATATTGAGAGTATTAAATACATTTATTTCCTCACCCATGACTAAGCCATTTGTATCATTTTTCAATAATTCTGTCCCTTAGAATCCGGTCACTTGGTGCACAGCCACAGCACGCCCCTGGCCACAGTGCCAGTGCCCGGTGTGCTGCCCCCATAGCGGCGGCGTGGGCTCGGCGGGGAGCGCAGAGGCAGAGGCAGAGGCTGAGAGGGGCTCCATGTTCTCCCCTGGCCTGGAAAAGCCCTGTGCCCCGGCAAAGAGCCGGTGAAGTATGGGGAGCTGGTGGTGCTGGGGTACAATGGCGCTTTACCTAATGGAGACAGAGGATGGAGGAAAAGTCGGTTTGCTCTCTATAAGCGTCCCAAGGCAAATGGCATCAAATCTAGCACTGTTCACGTGATATCCACACCCCAGGCATCCAAGGATTTTGCAGAAATGAGACACTGCATTGTAATTAAACAAATGAATTGCTCACACATCAGTGGCATAGCTGAATTTTACAACTCACTGTCGCAGCCAAGTGCCCCAGCTGTGAGGCACTGCTGAGCCTTACAGTTCAGTGTGGCAGCTCTGGAACAGAGCTCTCATAATTTGAAGATTTGGGAACCTGCTAGTAAATGGAAGAGGTGGGAAAAAGCCTTGATTCACTGGCAAGACCCAGTGGGCTCAGAGGATTCTGAGCACTCTATTAGAAATGAGAGCCTCCCTATATAGGGACCTGCAGGGTAAGAAAGCATACTCAATTAAGCGGGGCTGTGGTGGGGTTGAAGTTCAAGAACTTTCCAGAAGCAGAGGGGCCGAGTTAGAGAACATTCCTGGGGCTGGGGGAGAAGCTTAACAGAACCTTCTTGTGAGTGGACAGAGCTTAACAGAACATCCCTGAAAGGTCACAAAGTTCAAACAGCCACAAACCATTTTGACACATTGGGTAGGAGCCCACCAGCACAATGTTACATTTCCAAAACAAAACATTTTGTGGGAAAAGAAAATGGAGGCTAGGCCAGGGCCCATGTGATTGTATAGCTCTTTTCTATCAATCGTCTTTGGGGGGAAATGATTATGATAGGTATCTCCTGTCAGCTTCACGGGCATTAAGGTGCCACGACATGTTTCCTAAACAGAGCACTACAGTACTCTAATGTCAATGAAGTTGTAGCATCACTTTGAAACCAGCAAGAACTTAAAGGAAAAGGAATTGGATATGTTGAGTGTAGAAACCATGAGAGCTCTAAAACAGAAGGTATAACAGAAAGGAAAGGGATTTGGGAGCATCCTGAGGATTGATTTTCACTTCTCAACACTTGTGCATCAATCTCCATAACCCACACAAGCAAGAAATTTTGTAACCTTTTCTGTTACAAACAGAAGATCCTAATGGTCATGAGTGAGGTGGCCCTGGTGGGTGTGGCCAGCTCTGCATTGGCCCAGTTG